GGCATCAAGATGCTGGGGAATAGCCCAAGGCCAGGCGGACAAGGAGGGCGGGAATTCCACCAGAATCCTGGCTGAGCACTTTGCTGGGCTGCTCACTCTGACACCCCTTGAGCTTCTCCCGCTGTCAATGCATGCTCTCAGTTCGCGGAACGCCGGAAACCAAAATTCCCTATCCGACATGGCCTACGCTGCAATGGGGCTTCTCCGCTACCGAATCGAGCGAGACCGCGATGCCAGCTTCGAGCCCACCCTCTTCCAAACGCTGGCCCATCTGTCACTCAAGAATGACAGCGACAAGATCGTCGACCGCATCATCAGCCTTCTTCCTCGTCAAAGACTCTCCAGTGATATCCCGAGACACTCATCGGACGACATGATCTGGACAAGCCTTTGCGAAAAGGATTGCTTCGGTACCCTTGTTCACCACATCACCCCCCTGTGCGAGGTCGTGGGTGTAGCTGAAGAGGACCAAACTGTCTTTCTTGATGGCTGCCATGCAATCAATATCCGGTGGAAAGACTTCCCGCGTGTAAAGGTACATGGCGGTCAAGGTGGAGCCAAGAAAATTGTTACACGCGCCATGGTTCTCGGCAGTGCCGCACTCATGGGCATGATGATTCCTTTCGCCATATTTGCGGGGGCAGGCCATGCTGCTTCAGAGAGTTCCAACTCCAGATGGTTTAGACGAGTACCAGACTCCGGAAATGAATCTCCCTTCAGACCTCGGGCGGGGCTTGGGCAAGCCATCGACAGACTTGGACGCCGGGACCTCGGGGGCAGCAACAACATCTCAAACGCAATGCTAGCTTTGGCTGTCATTTGCTCTATCTTTGCCTACCTCATCGCTGTCGGGATATCTTTCATCCTCCATCGTTTTCTATCAGGGACATTCCTTGGTTGCAGCCCCTGTCTCGTTGGGTTCGAAGGCGTCATGCCAATCAGGGAGATCGAAGAGCGTATTTTTGGCATTTACATTGGGAGACTGAGATACGCCTCATCCGCCTCGCATCTCTTCACGGATGAACGAGATTTGGACCCTGAGAATAGATGGTATCAGGAAGGCAAACCCTCTTGGATAGAGGGCAAGGGTGACTCTGAAGAGATCGTCAAGCTTCTCAAGAAAGGGCAGCGGGTGTTTACGCTTGTAGACTTAGGAACTCTTTCAGTCATCGTCTTCGCGGCCGAGAGACCCCCTTCGGTAGCTCTCCTTACTGGCAGAGAGGGGGGGATGCTTAGAGCTGTTCTGTGTAGCTGGAGCTTCCGGAACGATTGCCTCTACAAGGAAGCCGTCGTCAGAATGCCTTCGAGTGTCTTGGCTGACGCAAGACCTACGAGCTGGGTAAAGCTCTGCATTCATTCTCTGGACGAAGCGCGTCAAGCACACTTCTGAGTACCCGGGGTCGAAGAAAGATGCGGCCAGACTAGGAAATTGACGACTTTGATCGAAGGCTTTGCGACACAGATCAAAGATAACAAGAAGAACGCTCGAAAAAGAGCAGACATCGAGATGTAACAAGTTGACGGAGCACAATATCTGCCAATTCACATTAAGAGGACAGCTCACGCCCCCGAAAAATTAGATTCGACTCCTTGAGTGGCGCTGAAGGCGTTGACTAGTGCTTTCATGGATGGGCCAAGGTGACGTGTGACGCGTGTGACGTGCGAGAAAGCTTAGCCAGCAATGCGTACGACGCCTTAATAACAGCACTCGAGGCTGCCACGACTGCTTATTTATCATAATACAGCATGCGAGTCTGCCCAAGATACCAGTGATGATGCCCAAAAGGTTTGCCCCTCCAAGAGTCGGGCGCCAAACCTTGTCTCTTCGTCAGCCGCTATCACATGTCTTGTTCTAGACTCCGTGATATTTGGCGATGGCGATACAATTAATCGATCCCTTTCTTCGATATGTATTAAATTCTTTTCCGGGTTTCTGCATGTACTTGGCACGCTTGACCTGCTAGCTACTTTGTCTTCGTATTTGCTAGCTTCAGCAGCGACGGGAAGATGCAATATGCTTGGCTTCGAATGCCTATCACCGGTCCCGTGGGTGGTAATTGCGGTGCCGTGGTACCCAACAATGCCATTGGTCATATAGTTCAGGCCAAACGTGATTAATCCGAGTTTGAAAATGAGTAGAATTGTGAGCACCATCCGACTGACTTGCGTTGCATTCCTCCCTTACTTGCCCCTGGAAGCTTATTGGCGCACCTGAGGATCATCTCTGCAAGCCGCACATGCTACCTGTTAGACCGTTCAATCTTATATCAGCTCTGAGATTCCTAAGTGGCAATTCTCTCTGTACTTGTTCTATGCTTCCTTAGTGAGCTGGTGGTATTATGACTTTTGTCTGTCTTTGGAGGCTCTGGTATGAATATGGTATTTTAATTTTTGCAGTAATATGACTTGTAAAATATAGTGATCTTTAAGGGCATGATGGCGGCAATGAAAGCAGGTGCCTATTTAATTTTAACCTCGAATACGGTACATTGCTTAACTTTCTAGTCGGTTTCAAAATCGAGAATTTGGATTCAACCGCTAGAAACCCCTCTTGCTTCCTTTCGATCAATTGATGTCAACCCCAAAGTCAACCGTGAACATGGCTCTAGTCTTCAAAAGTTGCAAGTGAGAAGAACAGAAGTGGCGGAACGGCATGGATGCGAAGTAATTATGACTCAGTTGAATATTTATAGACTTGGGTTTTGCGGATGATTTGAGTTTCCAGGGAAGAGAAAGGTGTTTGGGGAAAATGGCGTCAAATAGTCTTGCCGACTTGCGTGGACCAAGGTAATGGCGCATTGAATGACGAGCTGTCTGCATAAGTCAATAAGCATCGCCATGGCTGCTACTGACGATCTTTTCTGCAAACTTCATAGCAACTGACCATGGGCTAAGTCTCAGCTTGTGACTTACAGCAAGAGAACCGGCTCTGGCTTAGCAGTAGAAATACTGAGACGATAGAAGGCTCATGAGGATTCGAAAAAGTACCAAGCGTTACGGCGAACACTGATGCGGACTACGTGTCTGTTTCATTGGGAGCTGCGAATCGTTCGATGTTGGCTTTCACGATTATCGTTGTAAGCCAGCTGTCGTGTGGCACCTCGTAGAGACCCCATTGGCTAGGCAGACCATACATTGCATATTATTGGAGTAATCCTGGTCCGCCCAGCTCGCCGCCGTTCTAGGTCTCCATCAATGCATAAGTACCTACTTATAAAAGTCCCTTTGGATCCTCATTTGTGGTTCTCTGCTTCTTGCTCGCTTTTCTTCATTCTTCCTCAAACTCAGGTCGTTCCTGAGAAGGTGCTGCGTAGACCTTGTCTTTCCCGCGCTCCGTCTTTAGTCATTACGTCTCTTCAACGCACCGCATCACTCCACAGCTTCCACTTCGATCTCATCCAACCTGCAGTTGACAAATCACCATCGTTCGCTATCTCGGATCCACATGGACACATGGCCTGTCGACCCTGGAATGGCCCTTGATTTTGATGTGGCCCGAGCGGTGACTTTGTCACGTGCAGAAATCTTTGCCAAGGATTTGGAACATCAACTCTCGACATATCTCAGTTGTTACTATCAGATAACAAATCTACGAATCTGGGACAGGCATCCAAAGCTTCCTTTCACAGTGTTCAGGATCATTGATGCCCAACAGGTGGGCCGGCCCCGCCAACGAGCTTTGCAAAAGGTCCAGACCAATCTGCCATGCGAGTACATCACACATATCGCATCGAAAGGGTCTCGGTAATATGACCAATCATGAATCCACCAACACAGCGACCCAGACGTCAACACGTATGAACGCACGCCAAGTCGCTGCCTTGCCCTTATTTCTTACTGCACCCGGTCGCCTTCATTGCCTAAAAGTTGCGTTCACCCTAGTGAAGAGGCAAGTAACAGGACTAATTCTTAGAAAATTCAAGTTCATGCGCTCGTTCCGCCTTTAATTAGTACGCCATGGGCGCTTCATTGGTTTCTTCTCACAATGTTATCCGAACCATGCCTCCAGCGCTGGAGGCGGGGTCCGCTGACACGATCTGACTACGTCCCAACCGCACTTCGCTTACCCTGACCAGTAGCCGATTGCCGCGTCTGAGATATTTACAGTCCATTGCTCTCAAGACGCGATTCCTGAAGTCTAGGCCCTGGAAGGGCGAGGCCACGACCAACTAACCCTAGCATACACGTATGACGGGACGCAGCGTGCAACAATTTCTAATTATTCCACCTCTAAACTTGTGCCATGTTATTGTGATCATTATCAGTAGACGGTGATGAAAGCCTTGTAGATTGTTTCTCCGGAAGTTTTTCCGTAGGCAATGAATCATTCTGCTCGTCACCTTCGCTCTCGTTACAACTCAGCTACATTCAACGGACTGAGGACCCCGGCGACCACTTGAATTTCACGCAAGTGCTTCAAAGTACCTGGCCTTCATATCTGATACCCAAAGCTTGGGGGCCTGCGTTGAAATTGTTTGTCTTACCTATGTACCTGGTCTCATTACAGGTGTGAGTAAGATGCTCTCTGCCCAAGCAAGATTGTTCCAGCTCCGAACTGGTGAGGGAACCCTGCCAACTCGTAATATCCCTTGGCTGTTGCGGCGGTATCGTGCAGGTAACCGCAGTCACCGGAGGATATGACTTCCTCCAAGAATTGTTCAATTCATTGCTTGAGTCTAGGTGTAGCGCAGAATTCCGCGCGGTTATGCAGCCAGTTCGTCACCTGATTGGTGAGGCGCTCACCATAAGTAAACATGTGTCCGTATTCATCCCCTACAGGCTACTGCCGACCAATCGATGCCAAATTGGAACATAACGGAGAGCTTGTTACCTATGTAGCGAAAGGTTCTGCCCGTGACCGTATAACCAAGTGTATCCTTTTAACCCCCCCCCCCCCCTTCACCCTCCCCGGTTTCAGGTACAAGACTTTAAGGTGAGGAAAGGTGTGGGGTAGCCCGGGGGACAAGATATGGCTGTCACTTGAGGCATCTCGGGTGGAGCGCCGGAGCCAGTCGACTCGACGCTAATATACCGACAAGTTGATGTTCAGATAATCGAGTATACCGATAAATCGACCCCTCACCTACATCATACGAGCTCTCGCGTTAAAATATGAGGGGCAAGATCACGCCCAACTTTCGCGCGGCGGCGGTTTCGCGCGGGAGCGAACAACACTTTGAGATTTTGATGGTCCGCCGAACAGCGGTACAACACCAGGATTCTGATCAATCCCATCTGTACCGGGGAGGGCATAAGGCGTCACTGGATACTGCTACAGTCTGGAGAGTGATCGGTCTTTGGCAGAGCCACTGGTCCGTAAAGTTAACAATATAAAGGCCTTTTGGATCTGCCGATTCCCACTGTTTCCATATACTTTCTGCATTTGAATCGCATCAGAGACTTCCCCAGCTAAGTTTGAAAAGCTTGAATTCATCATATCACACTGATAACAGCCCCTTCCCTTCTCGTTACCAAGAAGCTTCCCGCGGGGGAGCCTTCTCCCCGAAGATGAACATATCTGAGTACGATCCATCTCCCTCAACGCATAGCCTTGCTGTCGGAATCAGCGCGCGTAGGGATGAGTTCTTTTTGCTAAGGGTGTGAACCTCAGGCAAAATTCTACAGCTGGGACGAGGGGCCCATGCTCCGCAAATGGTCAAACTAGAGAGGCCGCCGCGCTTCGGCAACAGCGCCTCATCACATTTGAAGCCGAGCCACTTGAGGCTGGAAACAGGCTCGTCTTATTGCCCACTCAAACGAGAGATGTCGAAATCGCAGAGGAAGCCCACCGCCAGAGAATTGCCGCCGAGCTGGAGTCGTTGTAATCCAAGGTACTGCAAGAGGGGAAGCATGGAACGGCCGTGAATGTTGACCTCATTGGTGTATGGCCGATCGAAGGAGAGGAGGGCTCGGTCACGCGAATGAACGTATCTGCGGGAATGAAGCACAGCAAAATTGTATGCCAAAGAAATCGGAGTGGCTGGGAGATACTTCACCGTAGGGCAGAGGCGAGAAGACGTAGAGGAAGACAGTGTGGGTCTGACGGACCGGCGGGAGGTTACATCAAGCAACAGAATGTTCCATGCCAAGCTTTTACAAGCACAGGGTCCTGAATTCAGTGATGCCGGGTGATGTCACTTGAAAGCCACATGGCTTGGCTTGGTTGAGTGCGATTGATGCATTGTAGGCACTGCTTTTCTCTCTTATGCAACTAAGATCAATCACATACTGCAAAGACTGATGAATGTTTGCGATAACATTATGCTGACACCTTGATAATATGAAAAGTCTCTAATGCTTATCGAAGATGGCAGAGCCAATCAGAAAGGCTGCAACCACACTAATCTCTTCCATTCCGTCCCATGATTGGTCGGTAAGACTATCAAGACTTCTTATGTCCAGGGCACATGACACTGACTTGTGTTGTGGTAAACTTAGGGAAGGGGTTGGGCAGGTTCAGGTTGAGGTTATTGGTCGGCTTCCGCGGCACGGTGATTTGCTCGTCAGCCATGAACTGCTTGCATCCCCAAGTGAGAACGCCGTTCTTTACAACATCGCCACCACCGCAGGCATTTTGAGCTGCAAGGTAAGTAAGTCAGCAATCTTATGTCCACTCTAACATATTCCGTCAACGAGTCGACTTACGTCCAATGGGACCATCTTGACCAGCCTTGCCATAGGCGACAATCCGTGTTGGAGGAGGGTCGTTGCGAGCAGCTTCAGTAACGGCGTCGTCCAGGTAGTACTAGAAAAGCGTTAGTATGTCACCGAACGGGGTGACTGGATATCATGTCTAGATAGAGTAGAACTAACCTGATGAACAGCAGCAACCTCGGCACAGCTGGCCTGGGTTCGGTGCTGCTTATCAACTTTGGTGCCACGCCTTGCCGCATCCTGCAAGCTAGTCTGGCACCGCTCAAGCGCAACGACAACCTGAGGCTTCAGACGCGAGTCCGCGTAGGTGTACAAGAATGGGCCACCTTTGAGGTTGGAAGAGAGATAGACGTCCTTACCGAGGGCCATGGCGGCCATCATGACAGGTTGTCTGTTGAAGCGGACTCTATCCGCATTGAACTTTGTCTGCATTTCGTTGAAGGCTGCGCGGGCGAGCCCGTAGAGCTGACCGTCGTTGAAGAGCGTTCCGATGTCTTGCTCAAAGGTGAGCTTGGCGGAGTAAACAAAACGTTGTGCATCGTCGCGCGCGGCTTTGTCGAGGGTGAGTCCAAACGTTTGAGCAGCGACGTTGAGGATGAGGGTGAAGAGCAAAAAGAGTGACGAGAGACTGGCTCCCCAGCTATTGCCGGCGTTGAACCACATTGCGGATTACTTTGAGACTACTTCAGATTCTAGAGCAGGGCTTCCAGTGATAGACTGGCAAAAGAGTGTAAAGGCGGAGGGCCGGATAAGGAATGAATGTACGCGAGACCGCGAAATAGTTCAAGAGAGTGACAGTATGATGCGACGATGGTTATAGCATCGCGAGAGAGACACAGGGTACCTTGAGGAACCGGGCTGAGTTGCCGATGACATAGTTAAGGTATTTGTCAGATGGACTTATGAACAACTGCTCTAAACTCTGTGACTGACTTGTTAACTGAACTATCTCTTGGCAGTAATCTGACAGCTTTCTCAACATCCCAGCAAGAGTTGGCCAGGGCCATTAGTTCGCCTGACGTTGATTAAAGGTCGAAGTCAAACCAATACCAATAATAGCCTACAAAAACGGCTTCGGAGTGGAAATACTTGCCCGACGGAACCGATCTAGTACGTTAAGGGAGATAGAGTTTAAGGAACAGTAAGGCTAATTAGAGTCGGCGCCCGCGGCGGCTGGAGGCGACGCCGGGGGGGTAACCCACGTGAGGGCAGACCGATTGACAAGAAGAGTATAGCTTATTAGATATACGAATATACACATCGGTGGGCAGGTAATAACGACGGTATGCCCGGGTATCTTGGTGGCCTTGGCTCTTGGGGCGGAGGAGTTTCGTCTCATGTTGTGACAGCCTTTGTCTTGGCGCGCGCGGTTGCCGGCAAGGCGGTAAAACCGTAAAACTCAAAGTCAATCTCAACCACCGCGGCGCTGTTGCGGGCAGCAAAGTAAAAGGAAATAACGAGCAGAAATATGATAAGCCCGGAGCTGCCGAGGGCCTCTGCTTCATTTATGATGTCCGTATTCCGTACGTAGTCGGCGACTGTCCGTACAATACCTGATGACACTGACTCGCTCTTCGGCCCGAGCACCGGTACGCACCGCCACGACAAGACGCTTAGAGTTAATTAAGGGAGTAGAGACTAAGGCACTTTGAGATGTTCCAGATCCATCACATATTGAAGTCCGCTTGGCGCGGAGACAAGTTGAGAGTGGTTCATGCTACAACAGCAGTTATAGTCATACAACCACCGCCGTGTCGTTGATGGTTGTGTTTGAGAATTCGAGCAAACCATTCCATTCATTCAGCATCAACCTGTGCTTCTGATTTCTTAGTCACTCTTTTCTTCGATAGCCAAACATGAAGGCTTGCACATTGAGTCTCGGGCTCTTTGCCGTGCTCGCACTTGCTCAGAGCGACTCAACGGCCGAGGAGGTCTTTGGAGCTATTGACCAGTGCAGCACGGCCAACTTTGACCAATGTCTGAAAGACTCCACTGCTCCTCATCGTTGCCTCAAGGTCCAAAAGTTTGCAGAGTGAGGATTCCACTTTATGATATGTCTTCTGCAAGTATTGACAAGCTGCTAGGGAGATTGTTCAAGACACATGTGTTTTCAGCTGCCCTGATCAGTCACCTTGCCTCACAAAATGTGGTACAGACCGTGGTGGCGCGTGGTGTGGTGAGGCGTAAGTAGAAGTCTCTCGATATGATCCAGCAATGTGAAGGTACTGACCCAGCGAATAGAGGTACCTGCTTCTGCGATCAGGGCTGGGATACCGCTCAGCCTGCTCCCGCAGACCCTTATGATCTCTCATGGGTGAAGAAGTGGGCTGCCATTGGCGATTCTTAGTGAGTTCTCATCAACCTATGTGGCTAGTACTCATCATTCTGACTTGATTGTTCTTCACAGCTCCGCCGGCATTGGCTCCGGTTCGCCATACCCTAACAGCTCAACCACCTGCGCTCGATACGACCAGTCGTACCCAGCCTACATGCAATCCCACGAACTCATGCCCGAGTCTGCTGAATTCGAGTTCCTCGCCTGCTCTGGCGCCACCGCTCCTGAGATCCTCGCCAACCAGGTCTCAGCGCTGGGCACCGGCTACGACATCATCACCGTCAGCGCCGGCGGCAACGACGTCGGCCTGACCAGCATCCTCAACGCCTGCATCTTCCAGTGGAACCCCTTTGCCAACTGCCCCGACGAGATGCAGGCCACGCTGAACCTCATCCGGGATACTCTTCCGGGCAACTTGGACAAGTTGTACGCTGGTCTCAAGAACAAGATTAACCCGGGCCGCAAGATTTACGTCACGGGCTACGCGAACTTCTTTGATAACACCACGACTGCCTGCGACGACGTCAGCTGGTCGTTCTGGTTCAACAGCGCCAACAAGCAGAAGCTCACCACTGAGCGCAGAACGCTGATGAACGAGCTCACTACTGCCGTCAACAACGTCATCGAGGCCGCGGTCAGGAGAGCCGGTGCCTCGTTCGAGTTTGTCGACTACAATCAATACTTCTCTGTGCTTCAGGGCCGTTTCTGCGAGGGTGCCACCAAGGAGCCCAACGGAAATCGCGATGGTCTTCTCTTCTTTGAGTGGTCTAGCAAGAACGACGATACCACCCTCGCGAGACGTGAAGCCGAGCCCGAGGTTGCATCTTTCAACAACGACCAGATGCTTCCTCGTGCGACCCCCACGATTGGCGACGTCGATTCATCTCTGGAGATGCGCAGTACCAAGCTGGGCCTCTTGTCCATCCTCTCCAAGCGCGCCGGACAAATCTGGAGCGCCTTCCCCCGCAGACAGACCACCAAGTCGAACACGAAGACGCCCGTCCTGGAAGTCCGCCAAGGCACGGCTGCATCGCCGTCAATTGAGCAGTACATCGCCGACCAAATCACGGAAGCGCGCAAACGCAACTCCAGCCTCGTCATCTCTCTCGCCGACAACAGCGCCGCGGACCCGGCCTTCAGGGGCCGCAATAACATCGAGGTCTCGGACTTCATTGGCGACGAGATCAAGAGGGTGTTCCACCCGCGTCCTGGCGGCCACGCCGTGATTGCGAACCTCGTCATGTGGCGTCTGGCCGAGGACAACGCCGCGACGGTCGGCGACAAGGAGTTTGGTGCCACCGAGGCTGCGGGCTGTGCTGTTCCTGTCCCGAGCACACCGTCTATGCCTGAGACGATTCCCGGCGTGCTGCCGAATTGTCAGGCTGCTGCGCTTAAGTGCTTGAACTGCTTGGGTGGCGCGAGTGGTCTTGGTGTGTTTGTTTGCAATTTCCAGCACCACTCTGATTGTAATGCTTGTGGCGGTGGTGACGGATGCCCGTGCTAGACATGCCGCGGAGGTTGCGTGGATAATACGATGGTTGTTGCAGGGGAAATGTGACCAGCGAACTTGAGCCTTTCCTTCTTCTCGTTGGTCCAGAGATATCACTTAGCCTACAGTCAAAATATTTCATTAGTTCAAACACTTGTGCCATCTGTGATATCCCGGTGATGTTGGCCGCAAGCACACTGTTGTAAATGTCGATGCAGAAAGAAAAGGCAGACACGGTGAACCTACTATGGTAGCTGGGTATCAGAATCAGATTCTTGCAGTGACAGATCTCTAACACCCTTGCATATCTATGGCTTCAACTCTACTGTAACTATTACTCCAGCTTCCGACCCTTTGCCGATCAAGTTGGCCTTCAACTCTTCTGCCCGTTGCTCCTCGCCAACCATTGAAATCTCCAACCTCAGTTCCTTCAAGTTCCTGGGCCGGTTTTCCAGGTACTCGACAATCTTGCCCTCAAGCGATTGCCACATGGGAACCACAGGGTCGTCTTCTTCCCAATCGAGGTCGTCCCACTGATAGTGCCACCAAAAGAACATTTCGTTGGTGATAGTCAACGCCTGGAGGCCCTCGGGGAGTACATCCGCCAGGTTTGACGAGCCTTTTGTTTCCCAGCCGAGGAGTACCGGCAGAGAAATGGAGAGCCGAGTTAGTTGGGTGAATTCCTTGAGTGACCCAAGTGAGCCACGGATTCCCCAGGGTCCGACCTCGCCGCAATCGATGGCCGTGGACGTCCATAGTGTCATCGCAAAGGAGAGCTCTTCGAGTGATGCCTTCAGTGTGTCGATCGAACTCCTCAGCGTCTCTAAGTCTACCCAGTCGGACGCGTACTCAGCGTCAATAACGTATCCGCAACGGAATGTCTTGAGATTTGGGGAAGCTCGCAAGAGTTGGCCAATATTCTCCTCGGAGAGCTGGCATCTGCTTAGAACCAGCTCTTCCAGTGTAGCTGCTGATGGCTTCGGATGAGGAGCTGGCCAGATGATTGATTTCCCTCCGTCTTCCGCTCGATGAAGCTCAAGAGTTCGAATCTGCGGAAGGTAAAAGAAGGGGAGAATATTCTCAGCGTAGACGTAGAAGTTGAACTCGTTTGCCGAATCTCCGTTCGGGGTTGGAACTAGAACCTTGATTGTTTCCACATTGCTGAAAGAAGAACCAGCGGCAGCGCCCGAAGCGACTAATTGGCTCAGAAGAGTCAAGAACTCATCACCGGGTGGGCGAGATTGTGTCCATTCGTCGTGATCGTTCCGGTCATAGGTCTGCACCTCAAGCGTCTTGAGGGCTGGGAGCCGCGATAACAGGATGGCGGTGGTTTGTGCAAGCGGAACCTCTGATTCTTGTAAGAGTGCCTCAGACCGTTCGGCCGGCAGGCGAGACTCGGTGATCCATGATTTGATGGTAGCTCTATCGCTCGAGGTGAGACGTTTTGCAAGTAACGCGGCTTGAGAGTTCTTCGCAGCCCTGACACCGCGTAGCGTTACGTCTCCGATAGCGGTAAGATGTGATGCGTTGCCCAACAGTCGTCGCATGTCCTCGACGGCTGTTGTGAGATCTGACTGATCCCAGTCCCACAAAAAGGCGGTTGGTGTTGCTTCGTTGGCCATGATGGGATTGCCTTGCTGATTCAATGAGATCGAATAAACCATTTGTGTGATGCTCAATCAAGTCAGCGGAGAGAGTGGGAAATTGTCCTTATTCAACGTGGAAACCACGGTGAAAGTGGTTCTCAACGACGTGTTCGTCCCGCCCGAGTGGTACCTGCGTTGCTCCGTCTGATTATATTTAGCGGCTCATTCCCTAGAGTTTTGGTCAGCGAAACCTTAAACAGCCCTGTCGATTAACGTCTTACACGCCAACTTGGCGTGTCAAGGGTCAGTCATGTCATGTCAGTCATGCTGTCTGTCAATGCCATCCATGCCAAGCCGCGTTTGTGGGGTCTCTGTACTATGGATATACGAATTCTACCTAGTGGTTCTTGCACAATAAGAAATACTTCCGAGCTCCTCAAAAGGAGAGAAAAGAATTAAGCATCATCCTCATCCATGATCAGTCATCAACCACCATGTAAGGTTAGCCACTGCACGAGCCACCTGTTGTACGGTGGCTGATTTTTCTCGATATGTGGCTGATGAAAATGTGGCTGTTCGTCTCCAAGTGGGGCTCCGTTATCCGAAGCTGATACGAAAGCATCGCAACATCGTCTCATTCATCATCAGAACCCGAGCATTGCGAGCACCTCGTAAACTCGGAAACCCACGACATTATCCACATCATTCGCAGTGCGATGGATTATCAACAACGGCAATGCCGAAACGATGGAATTCTAACAACTACTTTGCTTGTAAAGAACGAAAAAGAGCGAACACGCGTACAATGCGAGCCACTAACATGCTGCGGTCCGGCATCAGCCTCAAACGGCGTTCCGGCGATGTCCAGAAAACTCCGCTTCAGCGCCGCTTACGCAAACGTGAATTCATCGCCAAATCTACCGTATCCGGCGCGGGTTCTCAGACATGTCGTATAAATTCATCAATATCCTTTCGCATCATATTCTGAATGCCCATAAATGCAACTGACGCTTTGCCAACTACGGAAATTATGTCTATCATAGACTCGAAAAGAAGTTTGGCGACTGCCGAGACGGAGGACGCCGAGTCTCTTTGCAACGTCCCTCCTCCATACGAGTTGCACTCCACCGGTGCACTGTTGTCTAGCGAGGCTGCAATACAGTGTCAGAATAGCATGCTCTTCTGCATACTCCGTACTTGGGACTGACCTTCAAGCAGCTGACGGCCATGTGAACATCAACTTCCAGTCGCAGAATCCAGGGGAGCTGTGGGAGCAACTTCCCCCTTTCCCCGCAGCCGAGGATAATGCGTTGCCGAACATCAACCTCAAGCCCGTACCCTTCTTGAACGTCGTGATACACGTTGTGGGCAGCCGCGGTGAGTTCCTTGAAGAATTTGATCGTGGTACTTGACCAATTGATAGTGCCTACTAACACCAGTGTAACTAGGTGATGTTCAGCCATTCATAGCACTAGGCACAGCTCTCCGCCGTTACGGCCATCGAGTTCGCCTAGCCACACATGACACCTTTGCCAGATTCGTGACCGACCCTGGCTTAGAGTTCTTCCCGATTGGCGGAGATCCCGCCGACTTGATGTCGGTAAGTCTTGCGTTTGCCCCTTGAATCTTCCATTTCTTGCGCTTGCTGCTAACGGATACCAAGTACATGGTCCGAAATCCTGGTCTGATTCCTTCTATGGAGTCTCTTAAGGGTGGCGACGTGGGGAAGAAACGACGAATGATACGCGAAATGCTCCACGGATGCTGGCGTTCCTGCATTGATCCCGATCCCATCAGCAACCGACCGTTCGTAGCCGACGCCATCATCGCCAACCCTCCGAGCTTCGCCCACGTGCATTGTGCGCAAGCCCTCGGCATTCCAGCCCACATCATGTTCACCATGCCCTGGACGGCGACTCGTGCTTTCCCTCACCCGCTAGCAAACATCCAGCGCAGCAAGGACCTGGAGCCACAGGCCACCAATTGGCTGTCGTATGGCGTCGTTGAGTTGATGACCTGGCAGGGTCTGGGCGATGTCATCAACAGCTGGCGAAGGAAACATCTTCAGCTTGCGCCGATTCCCGCCAGCATGGGACCAGGCGTGACAACTTTTCTCAAGATCCCCCACACATACTGCTGGTCACCGGCCGTGGTTCCCAAGCCTGCCGATTGGGGTCCAGAGATTGACGTTTGTGGCTTCTTCATGCGCGACGAGCCATCCTATAAGCCACCTGCTGACTTGGACGCCTTTATTTCAGCCGTTCCGCCTCCGTTGTATGTTGGATTCGGTAGTATTGTTGTCGATGACCCAGGACGTTTGACAGACGTAATCCTCGAGGCCGCGGGCATTTGCGGCATCCGTGTCATCATCTCGCGAGGATGGAGCAAGCTCGGCGAGGGGAAGTCAAGCACAAACAGCGTGTTTTATCTCGGAGATTGCCCACACGAGTGGGTGTTCAAAAGAGTGTCAGCCGTGGTGCATCATGGAGGAGCTGGAACGACAGCTTGTGGCCTTATCAATGCGAGACCGACTATCATCGTGCCGTTCTTCGGCGACCAGCCGTTTTGGGGCCGGGTCATTGCAAAGTCAGGAGCGGGACCGTTACCGATTCCTCAAAAAGAGCTCCACACGCAGAAGCTCGTAGAGGCAATTCAGTATTGTCTGTCGCCCGAAGCAAACCGTGCCGTCCAAGAAGTAGCCAGCGCCATGCGGCAAGAACGTGGCGTCGATACCGCTACAGAGTCGTTCCATCGTAACATTCCTGCCAGCGATCTGAGCTGCGATCTGATTTCTGGTCAACGCGCCGCCTGGCTGTTTGAAAAGCAGTCCAAAACGGGCATCAAGCGGATAAGGCTTTCAAATCAAGCAGCATCATCTCTGATCGTTGCGAAGAAGATGAAGATGTCTGACTTGAAGCCTCTGCGAACGAAAGAATACGACACCGATGTGAAACGATGGGATCCCATCACTGGTGGTGCCTCTTCACTCCTAGGCACCGTCACCGACTTCACCGTCGCTCTGGGCGGCACCTTCATCGATCCATGGAAGGAATACAAGCGTTCCCGGGCGTCTGGTCATGAGGCCGGCTCGGCGAGCGGTGCGGCCGCAGTGGCTGTGGGTAAGGGATTTGCCTCCATGTCTGGAGCGATCGTCAAGGGCGGCCTTGTGAGCATGCCCCTCGCCATCACAGAAGGCCTTCACAACGCTCCCAGTCTGTACGGCGACAAGGTACGAGACAATGGCAAGGTAGAAGACTGGAAGAGCGGAGGAGTTGTAGCCGCAAAGGTAAACCTGGTTATTAAATGAGATCATCCGAGCTTGTAGCTGACGTGAACCTAGACTTTTGGAACCGGATTCTATGACGGACTGACGGGTGTCTTCACCGATCCCTACAAAGGTGCGAAGGAAGGAGGTGCTCTTGGCCTAGCAAAGGGAGTTGCCACGGGATCGTTCGGCCTTATTCTCAAGCCAGGAGCTGGTAAGCAAACAAACCTTGACTGATTTCGCCAGAAGCAGATCATGTTTGGCAAGAGTTTTCGGTCGAAGCTAACCCGGCGGCCTTTCTAGCAATGTTCGGACTCGTCGCATACCCTGCCCAAGGAATTCATAAATCCCTCAAGGCAAGGACCGGCCGCAGCCATGAAGTGTTGAAGGCGAAAACCGCGCTCCTGGACCACGACCAACGACAGAACAACGGGAACCCCCGCGACGGAAGCAAGGTCCTGCAGGTGTTCGACGCCTACTTTACGCAATAGAGTTACATCCGCCAACGCTATTCGCGCATGCCACATCGTAGCCACTTAAATACTAGTATTACCAAGCGGCTGGAAGTGCCAATGGGCTGTCTCGGGGTCTCCGCGGTCTATGAGAGTGGTGTCTTGATCAAATCGCGTGGCTAGTTCTGTGTAGAGGGAGGGGAAAGGAACATGTAGGGCTACACTTGTCAGTTGTTAGACGAACTTGACAAGCATGCAGCCCACAAGCTGAACAAAAGCCCAACAATGGCAAACAAGAAGGGCAGACGACCGAGGCGGGGCGGGAAACAAGAGAACGAAAACAAAACAAAAAGCGGGTATATGCCGGACCCCGGTTCCGACACCTTGATGTCCTCCGAGTCGAGCGGGGGTCCGAGAACCCGGATGGCCACCGGGCGACTCAGCTTCCAGCTGTAAAAGTCCGCCCCAACGTCACCGAATTCACGAGCCAACACGACTTAGCACTTCTTGGCCGTGGAGTCGAGTCTCTACGACCGAGACTTGTCATTCGCCATGGGGTCCATTGGCCAATCGACCTCGAGAACATCAAGGTGATCGTGAGCTTGGCACAAAGCTGCCCGCGCCTTGGCGACACCCGACTAATACCTCACGCATGGCCAAGAGTATTCTAAGAAGGCAATCATGACCGACGACATGGGCTCCACTGGCGTAATATTGGATTCTTTTCATCAAAGAAGCTTGTTGACGAGCATACGACAAGAGGGGAACCGGAAAAGATGGCGGGATTATCCAACTGCAACAAACGGCAGAGATGGCTGGCGACGAACGCAGAATTTGGAGGAAGAGGGCAACCAGACGGGGTGGCACATGCCCAACGGACCTTACAACCTATTAGGATGGAAGGATTTGTCTACACTACTTGTGGACATGAGCAACGAATCTGCCCAGGCAAGCAAGCATGGCATGGCTAGCAGGTCTTGGCTCGACATCTCGAAGAGCCTCTCGAGGACTATTGGAGACCCGAGGCGACGGGACCGACAGAGAAAATTCTCATCCACATGGCAAGCTTGCAGCTATAAAAGATCACTGCATACCTCGCATTCTTTAATATCAAGCTCCTATCTTCAAGCTGTTTCCTGAGCTCCCAGTTCAAGCTCAAGCCCATATCTGACAAGACTTTCATCAGTCCGCCCTCCAGAGCATCTTCAAGCTTCCCATCCTCAAAAAACATCAGTCAAGATGAAGTACAGCCTCGCATCTGCAGCCCTGCTGCTCTCCGCCCTCACGGACGCGACCCCCCTCGCCCGTCGCCAGGCCTCCTCCTCCACCTCCGAGACCGTCTCCGTCCCCGCGGCCCCAGCTTCAACCCCGCAAGCCCCCTACGACTGGTCCGCCGGCTGGCAAAAGACCTTCCCCATCCACCAGTCCTGCAACTCGACCCTCCGCGCCCAGCTCGAGGTCGGCCTCGCCGAGACCCAGCAGCTCGCCGCCCACGCCCGCGACCACATCCTCCGCTTCGGCAACAGCTCCGAGCACGTCCGCAAGTACTTTGGCAATTCGTCCACCGCCACTCCCGTCGGCTGGTACGACCGCGTCGTCAACGCCGACAAGAACGGCATGACCTTCCGCTGCGACGACCCGGACCGCAACTGCGCTACTCAGTCCGGCTGGGCGGGCCACTGGCGCGGCGCCAACGCCTCTCAGGAGACCGTTATCTGCCCTCTCTCCTTTGAGATCCGCCGCCCCCTGACTTCCGTCTGCGGCCTGGGCTACAACGTCGCCAACTCTAAGCTCAACACCTTCTGGGCCACTGACCTCCTCCATCGCGTCTTCCACGTGCCCCTCATCTCCGAGGGCGCCGTCGAGCACTACGCCGAAGACTACGCCGAGGCCCTCGAGCTCGCAAAGAACAACGCCACCTACTCCGTCGTCGACAGTGATGCTCTCCAGTACTTCGCCATTGACGTCTGGGCCTACGATATCGCTGCCCCCGGCGTTGGATGCCCCGGCGAGCTCGAGGAGGAGGACCACGACCACGATGCTACGCCTACGACTACCGCTGCTGCTGGCGCCGCTACCACGACTGCCGCCGCGACCTCCAGTGCTCCTCAGGAGTGCCACACCCACGCTGACGGCGTTCAGCACTGCACCTAAGTCGTACTTCTTACAGAAACGACGTGAGGAGAAGCAACATCAAAACGAAGTGAAGGAATAGTGGGTGAAGTGAGCAAGTAATGAAACATCGACATGCCGGAAACGATACCACTGGGATCATGAATTAGACGAATGAGGAAACATTCAAAACAACATTTTTCGAGAGGGGATTTCTTAATGAACATAGATTAGATCAAACACCCTCATTATTTAAAATTCAATAATAATAATGACAATTGCCTGTCAGAACAATACGCTCCCCCTTGCCATTCTCCTTTTGTGTATAAATGCTCGAGAGCCACTCAGTGGCCCTTCTCTATCCTCAACGCGGTTGAAAGTGTCGTTATTCAACCTTGCTGCCTTGCACAAATCCAATTACCAACGGTCGACTGGGCCTATTGATAAGCGCACACACCAGTTGTCTGTTGTTGTATCATGATCATAGTCCAATCATTAACCTTTGAATGGTGCTCCCAACGACACTACGCTATGCAAACACTCAATCTACAATCAAGCCCTCCAAAACGTTCATCGCCTTGCTACCCTCGCTCTCAAACTTGCTAACCATAGCTTCGCACTCTTGTCGCAGCTTCGACTCGGCCTGGTTGGCGTTGTGGTGAATCCACTCCTCCACTGTCATGCGCATCTCAGGGCTTGTCAGCTCGGTGCCTTTGTGAAGGAGCCTGTCAACTGGGTTTCTCTTGTCCGACTTCTCGGGGGATCCGAAGACGAGATCAATATTAACGGGGTTCCAGGGCGTGGTGCTTTGGAGACTTGCCAAAGCTTTGCGCTTAGTCGGCGAGTTAGGTCTTGCCGGGGTTGATGAAATGGGGGCATGTGTCACCCGCTTTTGAGTTGTGGAAGGTCTTGAAGACGGGGGCTGGTTCTCGGCATCTGAAGACTGCGGAGATGGCGAGGGCGAAACAGCCGCCTGGCGAGCTGACTGGGCAGGAGATATACGCGGAGTGCCTGATTGATGTTGTACACTGCGGCGAGCGGATGAGGTGAGAACCGGCGATGATAGAGGTGGCGGAGAGCTCGTCTTCATTGTACCCCTTGGTGTGGGCTCAGGTGCCTCGGACTCTGGCTCAGGCTCAAGCTCGTCTACTTGCTCCAGTTCGGACTCTTCTTCCTCTTCCGGCTCGTCTGCAAGCTCGTCAGGGAGTTCTTCCTCTGGTTCCTCCAGCTCCTCGTGTTCCTCTTCAGGCTCGTCTTGAGGCTCCGCTGGTGCGGGCGTTTGCCGTGCCGAAGCAAAAGACTGACGAGCTGACGCGTCCTCGGCTTCAGTGTCGATCTCAGCTTCAGGCTCAGCCTGAGCTTCCGGTCCCGGTTCGGTTTCAGCAGTAGCGGCTGCAGCTTCCGGCTCGATAGCTTCTATCTCTTCAACCTTGCCGGCGCTTTCCATAGATGCACGCGCCGCTAATGATGCCTTTGACGGGCGTCCGCGCTTCCTACCGGTGCTTGCGCGGGCAGGCTTTGTCGTGATCACCGTGGCAGTACTGATCTCATCCTCTTCAATATCAGCAGGCTCTTCAGTGTGGCTGGGCTCTACTGGAACAGCTAGCTCGTCGTCTTCGACGACCACTTTTGCGGCCTTGGCCTTCTGAGCCTTAGTCTGCTTGGATACCTTGCGGGGAGCTGCGGCCTTGCGTCCCTTCTTGGGAACTTCCAGCGCCTCAGGCTCCTCAATGGTCATTTCGGCCTCCAGTTGCTTCAGTTCGTCGTCAACATCGTTTTCGTCTGCCACGTATGGTTCCGCGTCAAACATTTCATGGTTATCTGACGGCTCAGGGTTGGCGGCAGACTCCTTGCCCGACTGGCTCTTCTTTGACTTTGCCTTGGGAACAGGGGCTTTCTTTCGTTCCGAATCGGAATCTTGCATGATATCCTCGTCGTCGGTCAGCGGACGCTCCAGGTCAGCCTCAAGCTGCCTCGTAATCTCGTCGTCGTCCTCGGGGAATGCGCCGGGTGCAGTTCGCAGGGATGCCATTGATGCGTTTGACCTCTGCGAAGTCCCTGAGGCTTTCCGTGTTCCCTTTGTCCCAGACGCGCGTGCAGTCTTGCGGCCTTTTGGTGCCTTCGCCGGCGGCGGCGCATCGGCAATGCTAATGTCCTGTTGTGATTGTTCGATGGATGAGCTGTCAGCAGTAGCTTTGGGGCGACCGCGTCCTCCACGCTTCTTTGGTGCAGGTGCCTCAGAGACTGCAAGCGCCGAACCATCTACCTCGTCGCTTGTGCGCTTGCGCCCTCGGGCAGGTTTCGATGGGGGTAGCGCAATCTCTTCTTCCGCCATGGCCTCATCCTCGACAACTTCAACAGGCTCATCCTTCTTTGCCTTGGTCTTCCTTCCTTTCGTAGTGGTGGCCTTCTTAGCACGAGTGCCTTTCTTACCGCCCATCGTGGAGGTCGTTGTCAACACGCTGTCGTCGAATTCCGCGGGAACATCTGTGATCGATGTGATGTCGGAGATCGATGTCGCGACTGATTGCACAGATAGCCTCGACGTGGTCTTTGAGCCTCGGGCTGCCTTGCCTTTCGGCTTTCTCGTGGAAGCGTATTGGTTTACCAAAGAGAAGTACGGGCAGTTGGGGGATCGGTTGAAGTGTTCGTCCCTGTAATTAGGTAAGATGATGCTTGCGGACGCAACACTCAGGGGACTTACATGGGCTTGTCGTTTTGTTCCCAGCCGTCCAAAGCAAGCTCGCAGTAGGTGCAGGTTGCCATATCGTTGTACTCGAGGGAAGGCGTGTATTTCCATCCTGCTTCGGCGAGCTAAGAGCTAGTCAGCATAGGAAGGTCTGGTCGAAGTTCCATGACCAACCTGTTTGATCTTATTCTTCCAGCCCCTCTTTCCCTCGTGTGGCCAACGTCCATCAAAAGTTGCCTTTCTGGCCGCGATCATTCGAGCGCTGGCAGGGTCTTCGGATGACAACCCGTTGAGATTGGCTTCGATACCCGCGACAATGGCCCATCCGCATTCGGGAGAGTGCTTCAAGTGCTCCTCGAGGGGTTTATCACCCTCTTCCCAGCCATCGAGAGATTTGTTACAGAGGAAGCATGCGACGTTGTCGGGGTTTTCGGGGAACGGCCGCCAGACGAAACCTGCTTTCGCGAGCTGTGGCAAGTTAGCACATGTGTCATCTTCCGCGAAGCCCTTCCGACTGCAGACATACATCTTCTGGCAGCAAGTATTTCATGTGCGGCCATGTGAGGTTTTTGCCGCCTTTGGTCGCGCCTGATTGACGGCGCTTTGGTGCAGGGTAGACTTGATGGAAGGAGCCCAAGCGGCCATCCTGTGTAAAGTATTCATTCGGGACTAAACCCTCAAAAGCCAAGTTCTCTGTCATGCTGGGCTATCTTTGGGCGTTGTGACACCTGTGAAGCTCAGGAATTGTGCAAAGCAAAGCTGGTCGCGATCCGGAGCGCGAACAGCTGCGCAAGACAGATGTACAGGACGGACGCGTCGATCGCAGGGAGGAAATATTATTCGCGGCTAGAATGCATCGGGTCACAAGAGGTTGAGCTGGTGGTCGCGTCGGTCTTCGAAGAGTAGGAATGGTCGAAAGAAAATATCGAGGGGAGCAATGTTTTTCAATCGTCGGTTGCGGGAGTGTAGCAACAATTGGAGTTGAGCAAACCAAATATTGGAGTGTGATGCGGCAGACACCAAACCGTATTGGCCATCCCGATCGCGTTTGTTTACATTCAACCTCTGTTTCCGTTGCTAGCTGGTGGGTCCGGCGGGGTGTGGCTCATTCTTGCCTTGTCGGTTTTGTGGCAGGGCTCTCAGCCACATTGTGTTAGTCATCAGCTCCTGTCTCATTGTCACACGTCAGACGTTGCACCAGGAAGCTTACTCAAAGCTAAGTACGGTTTGTATTCGAATGCTTCGTTCGGATCTGAAACTTCCTTCATCAATCTGAGTTCCGTATCTTTCCCAATAAATCCCTCATCCGGAGAACAAGCTTTGTATAGGGTACATGAGTTTGCCTCGCAGGTTTCCAACCATGATCAACGAAAAGCATCTCATTAGGACAGCAAGAGACCGTCGACAACGCGTTTGTCGACATTGGTCCAATGCATCGCCCATATCCCCTACTTGATGCACTCATGTATATCTCAGGCGGTTCCTCCATCTCTGAGCTATTTGCAGTATTCATGGGCGATCTCGCGAAACAGATCAATGGCGAAAGCTGGGACGCTCTCCAGCACTAGTTCCAGATTCTCATCCCTGGTCATCCACTCCATATCAGTCAGACAGAAATGCACAAGCAACTTTCTGAGATCATTGTCTCGAGATTCGATATTGGCGTAAACGTGTCTGATGGTGTCGATTGTGGCCCGCAGCATCTCATCGGTGCGCGGAGCATGCAACAGGCTCTGGCGAAGTTTGTGCAAACAAAGTTCCTTGAGTTCAGTCATGGAGAACCTGTTTGCAACTAGGTACAGCTCGGCATGTGCGAGGAAGACTTCCTTGTAGCCGGTCCGATGGTGTTGCTTGACGTCGTCCAGCCAGTCTTCAGTTGTCGTTTGGGCGGCTTCAGAGGGAATGGGGAAAAGGGTCTCGCAGAGTTTGTACCGGGCGCTTGAATGCTGCTGAGACTGTGAATCTCGCGAGGCACTCCTCATCCACATATATAATGACGGAATCTCAGGCTGCTGTGTGTTTTGTCGATTAATCGGTTCCCGGCGCTGTGACTCGACTTGAGAGATGCTCTTCGTTGTCGAGGTTTCCACATTCCCGGCTGCGTATATGGTGCCCGCATCGCTCTCGGGGCCAGGCATATCATGACCCCCATGCTTTCCCTTGACCGCTTTGGAAGCGACGTTCCGGTAGGACTGCGACAGAGCAGGCACCGTGTAATCGCGAGAATAGGCGTACTCCGTCAAGTTGACAAAAGTAGCGGGCTCGATGTCAGACCAGGTCACGAGAGATGAGTGTTTTCTGTTGACGACTCGGTTGGCAACGTCAACTCGAACGGCGGTTCTCTGTTTGATGAAATTCTTGAAAGATGGGGATAAGGCAAGGAAGACAATTTCGTGGCCTGTATGTTCGACCTGATCTTTGCCGATTATGAACGTAAGGGCCCTAGACCGAAAGATCCTGCGGTCTCACGTAAGCTTAACTTGGTCGAGACGTGTTGGAGTAAAGGGGTTCATACTGACTCATGTCTCGCTTGCGCTTCAGAGACATCGCGAGAATTGGTGTTGCTGCAAAGGCGAGGCTTTGCTGCGAAGTTGCCGGAGTGAGAGAACCGTGTGAGGCGTGGAGGCGAAGGAGGAAAATAACTTGACAAAGCCCTTGATTGATCATTACCAAAGGGCCCAATGGTCAGGGCTGAGTTGGAGGATAAAAATACCTAGATAAATCAGGAGCGGGAAACTTTTATGGAAGGTGGTGGTGGTTGAAATTCCGCGTCCAGGTGTGGAAGGAACGTCTGGCTTTCTGGGGTCTGCCTTCCTTCCGAAGGGGGATTGCCTCAGGTTCTCCACCACTCAGGCAATTCACGTTATTTCATAGAACGCAGAAAACAGGCAAGCTAGGAGGACTTCGGTTGAGTTTTACAAAGCGTAGACCAATTGTTCAAAGGAAAGAACAGGAGGGAAGAAAGTGCCTTGACCATAAGATAGGTAATACCTAGACAGTTCTGGCATTGGACCATGTTGGACAAGGGAAGGTATATAGTCTCTATAACTCTAGTTTGTCATTGTCTACAGCCAAACGCAGATCTTTGATAGTCTTGTGTTCCAAGGATCGGAAATATCGCTGGTTGCTCGTAGTCGTTTTCTTTTGGGTTGTCGGTAAATGAGAAGCAACTTCTAAGCATACCCTGGGCATAAATCGACAAGATTCCAGCTAGGTCCGGAACACTTATCATCATACCAGGAGCTTAGACTGCAACCAGACAACTGCCTGGATGTCATAATCCGAAGGATACGCCATGTGCGCGGTGAGGTTACTGCCGCTAGCATCGCACACTCCGTCCTGGTAGTTACAGTAGTCGTGGACTCTGTCGGCGTAGACATTGAAAGAAGCAAGTTGTTCAGCGGTACGAGGATATTTCTGTGAACAGCGTCAGTCACGGAAAATATTTAAAGCTTCTAATGGGGATAGACTTACACCGGTGGCGCCAAACGTAGAAGCGTTGCCAAGGTTATATGTCTGATTCGGCATGTGCCGAGGGTTACCATACAGCAAGATCGCCGCAACTAGACCACAATGTCAGCAGGTTACTCTGAAAGCAAACTTTGCATCTAGCCTTACTATGGTCTCCAACATTGCGAGCATCGACCAGAGGCTTGGTGTAGTTGCCCAGGATATTGCCATCACCACCACTAGCCAAGATATCTCCAAGAACCATTGCGCCCTGAGAATATCCCATTAAGACGATTTTGGATTCAGGGCAAGCCTCTGCGTAAGAGATGATCTGCTTGGCGCCATCGCGAATTCCAACAAAGTAGCTGTCACTCCCAGACTCGTCCGTGGCTGGGTAAACAATATCCTCGTAGTTGCTATTGGGAAAAGCCTCCATGAGCGGGTCAATGACCGTGATCAAGCTTCCGGGATATGACAAAGTTGTGCCCCGGGCTTCAAAGTAGTGGATGTCAGCGCAAGTGCTGTTGAGGTTCTGTCGGCTAGCCAGAGGGGTTTTGCTGCCTTGTACCAGAGCAGGCAAAGTGCAAGCAATGGCGGCGGCCTTAACGAGGAGAGACATAGCTGAAGATATGACTAAGAACAATCGTCGTCAGTAGTGAGTTGCTGGGACACGAGCCCTTGGCGAGAGAGATGACTTATATACATGATGATCGACTGGGCTTTCCCGACTTTCCGGCAAGTCGGCCATGTGGAAACGTCGACACTTTTGCGACTCTCGGCGATGCCACGCACTCCCCCCGCCATTCTAGATTAACGGACTTGGCTTCCACCGTTTGTAGATCTGTGGGGCAGATCCGAATGCCGGCATGTCACCCCAGGCACGGACGTTTACCTGCATCGGCTCTGGAGATCGAAGCTTCTCGGCCGAGTATTGCCTGCGGCGTCGACATGTTCAGTAATCATCTGAGTAGGAGGTTGTGGGAGTATTTGTAGAGTTTGATCCGCCGAGGAGGGCGTTCAACAACGAAGAGTGATGCAGGCCGGCCCGTTGCATTCGTCGGAGTACCAAAAATAAGATGAAGAAATCTCTTTGAAAGAAGCTTTTTATAGAATATTCTTTTGCCAGAATAATTACCAGACAAATACCAGCTGCAAGCTCCTTCTTTGTCTGATCGCTCCACCTTAGGTAAGGCAGGCCATGTCCTTGACAAGCAAACAATCGGGTACTGCCTCCTTGAAGAGCCAAGGCAAGGCAAGGCTTCGCGCCTTGAAAGGCAGAGGTATTAGGTACTAGCAGTAGGTTGAATCCTGAGATATTGGACTTTGAAAAGATTCTTGGATGTTAGCAGTGTCGTCTTTGGGAAGGGGTTCAGTCTGGGCGTGCTGGATACCTTACCTGCCTTAATTGGTCACGTTTGAGCTGCCTCCAGTGGTGAAAACCATCTGGGAAGGAGCGATTGAGGTTTTTACCTACGGTTGCTTCTACTGGCGTCACCGAGTTTTGCAGCCGCAAAGACAAGGAGCCGTAAATCGATATTTAAGATTGTCTAGCTACGCCAACGCTGTACTCTGCTACTGCAAACCACTCGTCAACCTGAATTCCCGTCCATCAACCTTTTTGCAGCAGAAGGCTCCATGGTCAAAAAGACATCAGTCCTATTCCTACCTCATACTCGCCGAATATATCAAGCATTCCTTGCAGACACCAATCAAAGTCGCTAAGTACTAGGTATACTTCGCATCGCAGAGATGCTTGGCAAGCGGAAGCGATTCGACACATTCGAGGATTCGGATGAGTACATGCAACCCCTCCACTTTCCGGTTTAATCTACTGTTGCTAACATACGGTCAAGAGCAATCCAGTCCCGATGCATCAAGTTCATCGTCGGTCCGGAAAAGAAAGAATACACCGTCCATGAAGCGCGCTTCACCAACCTTTCGCCAGCCCTACACGCCCTTCTGACTGCAGGATTTCAAGAGTCCAGAAGGGGCAAGGTCGTCTGGGACGATACTGACCCAGTCACTTTCGTCCTGCTGGTTCAATACGCCTACCGTGGTGAATATTCACTGCCAGACTCTAACGGCGTGACTACGATCCCTGAAGAGAATGAGACTCCTGAAGATGGCGACACCCCCAAGAATTTACCGCGTTCAATGCAGGGATACTTCTGGGCTGCCGGACACAGAGGCTCACAACACCACTTTGTGAATGACAGGTTTTTCCCTGAGATGAGCTGCGATGAGAAGCCACCGGGTATGGGCCAGGCTCAGTGTATTCTGAGGAAGTTCACCGGCATTGAGGCGTTCGAGAAGGCTTGCCGGCATGTTGAACACCTGAGGCCAATGTATATGCTCCACGTTCAGCTCTACTTCCTCGCGGACAAGTACATCATCGAAGATCTCAAAGAGATGTGCCTGGCTAGGGTCCGACATTTCCTATCGGAGTGTCCCGGAACCTTTCAACTGAAGACCATTCTTCTCGAATCCGTCCCGGTCATCTATTCACAGACAATTCATGGAGACTCGCTACGGAGGCTTATTACACATTATTTCCTCGCCAACATGAATTGGATCGATACTGGTTCGAGGTTCAAGGCACTACGAAGAAGCACGCCTGATTTCGGACTGGACTTGCTCGACGAGATCCCCCACAGCTACTGGACGGAGTTGAGCGAGGGTCCTAACGAACCGGCAGCTGAGGCAAGGGAAGACCAGGCCCAGTATCAGGCAACAAGGCGGACGAGGATCACATGAAGCGGGGGTTGGGTCATGACCATTCGAAACATCTCCAATGTTTGGTTTTGAATTCATTACTGGGTCGTACGAGAGAAGTGGAAGAGGGCTGGATAGAAATTGCAGTCTTCATTACGCATCAAGTCAGGACTAGGGCACGTGAAATTGACGAAGTAGATTGTAGTACGCATACAATATTTGGTATGCATTACTACAGCTGTTCTGTGCGTGAACACTGCATCACATATGACTCAAAACACCAGATTATGAACTTCATCCTCCATAGATAGGTGTTGATTCCGAGATAACGTCATGAACAAACACGACTTGTCCCCCGTGCCAGCACCCATTGATCCTGAAACAAGTCTTTCCACGGTTTTGAGAAAGGCCCTTCAAACTTGGCTCTTTTCACTCTTGCCCCGAATGACTCTGCTCAGGTCTCCAACAGGAAGCTCCAAGGGGAAGTCGAGCGAAGCCAAGAGGATGGCGAAGATGAGCCACCAACCGGCGGCGCAAGTTACGAATGCGCAAGCACCAGCAGCCTGACAAGTTGGTATTAGTACTGTTTTACTTCCTCGCACATCCCACGCCTTCAAGGCTTACCTGAAGCAGTTTCGCGGCGTAAGCAGCATTGCTAGTGTAGTCCATGGCAAGGAACCAATACGCGGCCGTGATCAACCCGAACGCAGCAACGAGCGTCAAGAAGATGACGAAGAAGACGATATTCGTCCGGAGCGAGCAAATGAGGAATACGACGCAGATCAAGCCCATAGCGAGGGTGATGAAACCTGTTCAAACCTGTGTTAGTTCAAGTCCATGGAGATATAAGAAAAGGGGTAAGGGGCAGTGACTGACCGAAACTAGCATTGAACCCTTGCGTCGTCAATCCCTCGGCCCCAGACGTCGCGTTCGCGGGAGCGTACGATGAGAAGGCGGCAAAGGAAGGGTTCAGGGTCGCGCCAAAGGTGAACCAGAAGGAGGAGAAGGTGAGGAAGACGACGGAGGGGAAGGTGTTGCCGAGGACCCATTCGAGGAGACCGCCTACGAACATGAGGAGACCGCCAAAGAAGAAGTATGAGCCGCTGTGAAGGAAGACATGTGAGTTTGAGAGGCGTCATGGTGAGAAGGTGGTGTTGGGGGATGACTTACATGCCTGCCGCACCGCTTCCGCCTGCTCCTCTCCAACCCATCAAGTCACAAGCAAGAGGCGTCAATGAGATGAGGAATCCAACAATGGCGCTGTGTAAGTGTTAGTCAATGTCAATTGACCCATGACCATCCACCAAGGTATGAGGTTTCTCACATTGGAGTCGGGTTACCAAAGGTCTTGCGCAGATCTCCCTTGACGTTATTCTGCGGCGACAGATACAGCTTCTCAAACAGCTCGGGCGACATGGAGATTGACCCGGCCGTTCTCATCCTCCTGAGTGCGTCGTCGCGGCTGGCATGGGGCGCCATGTACTCGTCCTCTGGGTACTCGCCATTGTAGCCGCCTCCATTGGGCACACGACGATGGTGGCTGTCGACGCGCTGGTGAGGGTCCGATGGGCGGCGGTGCTCGTTGTGGTGGGAGTGGGAGTTGACTTCGTGGATGTCTTCCTTGTTATCCATTGTTTCGTCTGTGGAGGTTGATTAAGATGGTAGACGGGTATCAAAGGAATTGACCGAGCGATTGAGGAGAGGGATAATGATACAGATGGTACACTATGTTCTTTGGATGAACGGAGGAAATAAGAGACGACAGGAATGACAACCGAGACTGAACGTAGACGATGTTTCGAGCGGAGGGAACTGGGCCATTAGATGTATAAAGGTCCAGGCCGGCCGTAACGGGTCTAGTCCTCCACACACACATCTTCTTTCACTCTCTCGCGTTCTCTCTCAGTGTCTCTCATCCACACCCTAAAGAGCGTTTCCAAGACGTAAAAAAGCAAAGACTGGGGGGGTTTAGCAACGGACCGGGGCCATCTTGGCACCTTGGGAGCCCTGCTGGCAGGACGGTTGAGTCGGATAGTCTTTTCCCATCATGACCACTCTAACACGCCCCCCTCCTCCTCCCCCAACCCCCGGTCACCCACACCTCAAAACGGAATACCGGGGTTTACGAGGACAACGACTGGGTTATCTGGAGGAAGATCTTTCTTGAAAGACCCACGACCGACGACACAAACGCGTCCGCGAGGAGGAAAAGGTGGGCAGCAGGGCCTAGAGCCTAGAGGACAAGAGGCTCTCCTCCTCCACATCGACCGAACCCACTTTGGGGCTAGGACGACCGGCAGACGGATACCCCAGGATTCGGGACAAGGGATGGATGGGTTGCTGCAATCTGAAGGGTGGGCGTGATACAGGATCTACGAGGATGATTCGTTGGATGCTGCTGCCGCAGGAAGCATGGTTCGAACGAGGTATCCGTACGGAGGTAGACCATTGGGGAGAACATCGGATTGGGGGGCACAGCACGTTTGGGGGTTTTGAACATGGTTTTGGTAGAAACCTGGGGGCGAAAGGCAACATGCTTGCTTGATTGCTTTCCCTGGAGCGTTGCGTCCTGTCTTGGACCAACAACGTCTCTGTTTCTTTCCGTCTCCTTTTCCCAGCTGAGGGTGTGAAGGCACGCGGTCTGGGAAGAGTCAACCCGTCAATGTCTCAGTTGAACACATTTGGGGCTGAGGAGAAGGGGAAAGAGCAAGACCTGCCACGCCTGCCACGCCTGCCAGAGCTCCCGTCACATCACACTGGTGAGTCGTCAAGGGTTCGCGCGGATGCAGAACTGAACGTTTGAGGTTTAAGGCGTGTCCACTGTTGGACGGGTTAAACGTCCTTTGGGCATGTATGTCTAAGGCTCTGACCGAGTCAATAACTTGCCTTGCCCCAGTTGAGGCTTACTCGGACAATCTCGCGTGGAGGCAAGGGAGGACCGACGGCGGCGCTTGTTGGAAGTTGGGGGGAATGGACAAGTTCGTCAATGGGAGGACCTGGGCAAAAGCTGGGGTAAGGATGCGGAACCGCAAACCAACGAAAGCCAACGAATCAACGGGCGGACGACTGAACGACATGGAGGAACGGAAGTTTTCTGACTCTGGTATGCAGAATAGCGTGGATGGGGGGACCTACAGGCTATCCGGCATTGAGCGGCACATGGATGTAGTCTGGGAATAAGAAAGATAGTCGTGGAGTCTCTGGGCTTGACGGGAGCGAACAACAGTTTTATTTGACCGGTCTTGCAGTAGCGCCCAGCAATTACGTCTGTTGTTTGCTTGCCTCCCCGGTCCAGTACTATCCATGATCTACCACGTCGAGAGTCAAGACTCAAGAGCGTACCTTAGTCGTTCAGTATTCCGAAAAGGGGAAGCTGGATTTGGTTGGTTTGAGTTTTGGGGGAGGATACCTAGGTATGATGGAGGAGGAGGGGGGAAGGGAAGCTTCAGCTCGTGTGGGGCAGGCTAGAGGTATTGCGGGGAAAGCTCTACACCTCACCACACTTTGTCGCTATCTTACCATGGACTAGGGGGTGTGACGGGTCAAGGGGATGGGGAGCGTCGGGGTAGCGGATGAGGCGTGTGCGTTCCATCATTGCATGTTCAGAGTCATTGCCTACTCCGTTGAGAAGCCCCATAACTCACGGCACGACGGAAAGGGACAGTAAGAATGGACAAAGGGGTTTGGTAAGTTTAGTTGGGAGTCGAGTATAGATGGGATGCTGGACCTGAAAAGATGGGTTGAGTTGGTCTGAGAAAACTGTTTAGCACTCCGAGACTTGACAGTTGTACTTGGCCGGTGCTCCATGCAACCCGGCCACATACTAGACTTGGCGTGGAGGGTTACTGTTGAGAAATGTACATGTCATGATGGAATCACTTGAGGCTCAATTGGGAGGCGTCGTTGGGAGGAGAGAAGGAGGGGGGAGGGCGAAGCGGCAGATGCGGCCCCGGCATTATACGCTACCCGTTACCCCAGACTTGGCAGCACAGTCCTTGACTCGATCACGAATGGTGAAGTGTCACTCAAGATCCCAAGAGCGATTGTCCTGTCGATGCATCAGAAGGGTTGGAGATTTGAATTTGGGAGATGGATGGAGGGGTGGTGTGACCTTCAGCGAATGCCGGTCCAAACGATGCAGAAAATGCGCCCGTCACAACGTGAAAGACGGACCAGGACGGAGCTATCTCGGCACGAGATCGCCAACGCGGCATCTCTCACGATGGGGAATCCATGGAGGATGAACGAAGGGCTCATTGGAGCTCAGAGTCTAGTACATGGATCAACAGAACCCAAGTGTAGTTTGCTTCTATAGTCTCGCATTGGGGTCGCTGGTGACCCTTTATGGTAGGAAACTAGTAGCCATTCATCTCGTAACAGCATCTCATCTCAGGAACCCCTCGTTCAGTAGGCCCTCATTCCCATACTCTAGAACGGTCCACGATTTATATCAAGAGTCAACCGGACAAACCGCCAGGCCGATTAAAGCTTCCCCGCATCCTTCATCGCCCTCTCTCCATCAACGAGAACACACCACCCCTCCCCGCCGCGGGTCCCGCCCCCGAACCCGGCAACAACGGCCTCGAAGCCGCCTTCGCCGCGCGCGTACTCGAGCACCGCGTCGTCAAAGGTGCCCGGCTGCAGCCAGACGGCGGGCACGCCCAGCTCCTTTGCTTCTTGCAGGACCTTGAGGGTTGCGGGCGGCGGAGTGATGATGGAGACGGCGGTGTCCTTGGGATGAGGCAGGGCCGTGAGGTTGGGGAGGGCCGGATGGTCTTTGCCGAGGGCGTTGACGGTGCTTGCGGTCGGGTTGATGGGAGTTGCTGGGATGGAGTGGTTCAGGTACCAGGCGAAGACTGCATGGGATGTTAGTGACGATTGAAGTTGGAGATTTCAAGAGAGTGATGTGAGTGACAGCGAGGGTGAGAGTGAGACGAGACTATTCAAGTGAGATGAGTGTGACTGAATGAGTGAGTGAGTGACAACTCCTCGAGCTTAGACCAAGCTTGAGGCAGGTGTCCAGCGGGAATAAGACAGCGGGG